GCACCTCCTGGGGTTCTCTCCCTGGACAAGTTAGTCCAGGCAGGACAGCCTTCCAGGGGCAGGGAAGGGTGGAGAGTGAATCTAGAGGGGCCAAAAGAAGATTCTGGCACAATGAGGCTAAACCCAGCCCTTCTGCACCCTGTCTCTCCTGAGGCCACAGGTTCTGGAGAGCTCTGCGTGCAGCAGCCTCGGGGGCCTCCCCCACACGGGGTCCCTTGCCAGCCCTGCCACCCACGCTCTGGATCGCCCTCTCTCAGCTGTACACTGTCGAGGAAGGACTTAACGCTGGTGTTGAGCTCAAGGGGAGAGAGGCAGTCTGAGAAGCTGGATGCCCGCCCGATACATGCTGGACATTCCTGCCACTGACCCCACATGCATCCTGCACAGCTACACGAACGCTGCCCACGGAGTCCTTGCCAGTCTGGTCTCATCTCAACTGCGGGGTGCCATGGATTTGCCACGAAATGCTTTGAGAGTTTTGTCTAAGAAACGGGAGACCTTGTGATATAAACTATTTATCTGGGCATAGTTCATGGATGTGAAAACTGTAGTATCATGCCTTCCCTACACAGATCTATAGGCTTAGAAAATACAGCATGGGCTAAATGCAAAAACAAAGAAACATAATTCAGTAATGAGTTTTGTTTTCCCTAAGATTTATTTATTTATTTGAAAGTCAGTTTGAGAGAGAGAGAGAGAGAGGTCTTCCATCTGCTGGTTCACTCTCCAATTGGCCACAAAGGCCGGCACTGTGCCGACCCAAAGCCAGGAGCCAGCAGGTTCTTCCAGGTCTCCCACGCGGGTGCAGGGGCCCAAGGACTTGGCCCATCTTCTACTGCTTTCCCAGGCCATAGTAAACCAAAGTTTACTTTCTAAATGCCTACACCAGCCCTGGAGGCCCAGGCCACAGCCAAGAGCCAGGAACTCAATCCAGGTCTCACATGTGCAGGGCAGGAGCCCAGTTCCCTGCGTCATCACTGCTGCCACCCAGGGTTTGCGTTCGCAGGAAGCTGGGATGAGGAGCTGGTGCCAGGACTCGAACCAAGGGACTCCAAGGTGGGACTTGAGGATTTTAACCACTAGGCTGAAAGGGCCCTTCCTAAATAAATTTAGCATCTCCTCCTTTTTAAAAATAATTCACCTGTACAACATCTTATCTTTCTGCCATTTTGAAAAAATGATTTTTTTGATAATTTTATAAAAGACATCAGTGACTTTCCATGCAGGTTTTTTTTTTTTTTAAGATTTATTTTATTTATTTGAAAGACAGAGTTACAGAGTGAAGTAGAGAGAGAGAGAGAGAGACTTTCCATTTGCTGGTTCACTCCCCAAATGGCCTCAACATCTGGAGCTGTGCCTATGGGAAGCCAGGAGCCAGGAGCTTCTTCCAGGTCTCCCACATGGGCGCAGGGGCCCAAGGACTTGGACCATCTTCTACTGCTTTCCCAGGCCATAGTAGAGAGCTGGATCGGAAGTGGAGCAGCCAGGACTAGCACCGGCGTCCATATGGGATGCTGGCTCTGCAGGCCGTGGCTTTAACTTGCTGTGCCACAGCGCTGGTCCCTCCATGCAGGTTTAAGACAATTTTGACAAAGCTGTAGCAAACAGCCTATTTCAGGTAGCTCCTCCAACGTATCAGCACAAGGCCATACAGAATTAATTTCTGATTGTAAAAATCACCTTCACTTATCCTTGAAGTCTTTGTTGTTCTCATGTTCCCGGCATCTGATCTTCTGCTGTCTATCTACAGGGATATTTTGTTTTCCCTCGTGTTTTCAACTACTTTTCCTGCTTTTAGGAGCTGTTTCCTTGGCATTTTCTGAACTGTCACAGTTAATACAAAATGGAGCGCTGTGACTCTCTGGTATCACCAGTGCTTCTGCTCAGCTCTCCCATCTCCACCTCAAGCTCCAAGCCCCCCCGATTCTCAGCTCTCACTCACAGAGGTCAGAAGCCTTACCCGCACACTTACTACTAAACTACTGTTTTCCCACACTTCATCCTTTTGAAGGATTTTAAATCTCACTATAAACTTATTTATAACTATTTAAATTTATGCTTAGGAGGTTTCACTGTTTACGGTCGTCTTTTGGAATGAGGCTGATTTAAAAACTCAGTGATCCTTCAACTTAGGTTAAAGTCTTAAAGCCGTTGCTTTTCTTGAGAAAAGCACATAAGTGGTGTAATTTCTGAACACTTGGCATGCCTGGGAATGTCTCTCCTGGTGTCTTCGCTGGGTAAGAAATCTTGGGTTAAAATTTTTCCTCTAGAACTTCCTATTAATTTCTTCTTTTTTTCTAAGTAACCGTATTTTGTTTTTTAAATTTTTCATGACGTGTCAAAATATAGAGTGCACTTTTCCGGAATACGATAAGCCTTTGATCTGCACTTGGGAGACTTTCATTTGGCCCCAGGGCTTTCCTCTGCTGAAGCAGCTGGCTGGAGAGCAGCCTGTGTGTAAGAGGGTGTAGGGCGAGGGGACCTGTAGGCAGTGAGAGGAAACCTTTCATGCAGGTTTTTAAAAATGGACAACCGGGGCCGGCGCCGCGGCTCACTAGGCTAATCCTCCGCCTGTGGCACCGGCACCCCGGGTTCTAGTCCTGGTTGGGGCGCCGGATTCTGTCCCGGTGGCCCCTCTTCCAGGCCAGCTCTCTGCTGTGGCCAGGGAGTGCAGTGGAGGATGGCCCAAGTGCACCCCATGGGAGACCAGGATAAGCCGGAAAGCCCTGGCCTGCAGTGCCAGCATCCCATATGGGTGCTGGTTCTAGTCCCGCTTGCTCCACTTCCGATCCAGCTCCCTGTATGACTTGGGAAAGCAGAAGATGGCCCAACTCTTTGGGCCCCTGTACCCATGTTGGAGACCCAGAAGAGGCTCCTGGCTTCAGATTGGCTCAGCTCCAGCTGTTGCAGCCAATTGAGGAGTGAACCAGAGGAAGGAAGACCTCTCTAACTCTCTGTAACTCTTTCAAATAAGAAAAAAAAAAAAAAAAAAAAAAAAAAAAAAAACTTAAAAAAATGGATAACCAAGCCGACAATGGCTGCTAATGTCCCCTCCTCATTTCACAAGTCAAGTCGTTCCTCTCGCTGCGCCCGCCATGGTGGGACCAATCAGGTCCCCCTGAGCACCACACGGGTGCTCGTGAACACAAGAAAACCAGCCCTAAATGCCTTCCGTGCTCCTGCGCCGTCCTGGCCCTACACGAAAGCTGCCTCACACTAGGCGCTTGCCCAGAGTTGCCATCAGCTGCAGGGGGACTGAGTAAGAGGGAAGCTAAGCTGCAGGGGAGACTCAGGGCCCGAACCCTCCACGGCTCCCATCTCTGCGGCCCTCTCTGCACTCCTGGTCCCCAGTGGGTCAGAGCTTTCTCCTTTCCCTCTGGTCACTCAATACACGTGCTTTTGCCTCATACCCCGGACTTCTCTATTTTCTACTGTGCGAAGTCAGGAGCCAGGTGATGCTCTCCCAACGCAACAAGGGCCAAAGTGTGGAGAAAATAAACTGACGTGCAATGGAACAGGGATGCAGTCGTGTCCCAGGTGCCCTGCCCGTCCTTTCTCTCGAGGATCCCCTGCCTTGAGGTGGGGTACGGATGGCCCGACAAGGTCAAAATCACCTATGCTTCTCCCACAGTGAGAACCCTGACAGCCAGTGCTGTCTGGAGGGGTTTGGTTAGGGGAATGCCACATCTGAACGTGCCCCAGCCAGACTTTCCCAGAAGAGGGGGCGGACGGCCACTCGTCCGCGAAAGCCCACCCGAATGCTCCGGCACTCTTACGGAGCCGTCTGCCTGGCCTATCCAGTTTGTCTCTTCACTTTTTTCAATAAACGATGCTACAATTACCTTCTCTGCCACACATTTCAGCGTTGAGAGAACAAGTTCCTGGGGTTCAAGCCAGCGGTTCTAATCCCACTCTTTTTTTTTTTTTTTTTTTAAAGATTTATTTATTTATTTAAAAGAGTTACACAGAGAGAGGAGAGGCAGAGAGAGAGAGAGAGAGACAGAGAGGTCTTCCATCTGCTGGTTCACTCCCCAGATGGCTGCAATGGCCGGAGCTGCACCTATCCGAAGCCAGGAGCCAGGAGCTTCTTCCGGGTCTCCCACATGGGTGCAGGGCCCCGAATGCTTGGGCCATCTTCTACTGCTTCCCCAGGCCATAGCAGAGAGCTGGACTGGAAGAGGAGCAGCCAGGACTGGAACCGGTGCCCATATGGGATGCCGGCACTGCAGGCCAGGGCGTTAACCCTGTGCCGCATCGCCGGCTCCCTCTCTCAATATGGCTTCTGCACCATCCGCTCTGCCCTCTTCTTCAGAAGCAGCCCAGGCCCCGGGGCCCTGCGGAGGCGCCGGGTCTCTGACCCACTTGCTGTCTCCCACCGGCTTCCTGGGCAGCGAGTTTCGTTTGTCCTCGCGACATTACGGTCTGAAGACGGACGTTTCTGCTGGTTTCCAACGTCCATTTTGCTCCTGCCAGAAGCTCCCACGCGCCTCACTACATTCACCTCACCCTCTTGCTCTTGTTCCTGCTTCACAAGCTCTCCTATATTCCTTTCAAGTAGCGCGGCGGTATCCCAACACTTATTTCTAGATCCTGAAACGGATAGCTACACATTGATTACGTGTAATTTTACAACTCTTTTCTCTGTTCCCTGGTATTCTGTCCCAAGTCCCAAGTTTCATCCCTCCACCATCCCGAGATCTCACCTCTGGCCTCAGCACGCATCACTGGCTGCACTAAGACATATTTACGGTAATGGGACTAGGAAATCTTTATTTTTCAATTTTTAAAAAATCTTACATTGTCCTTCTATACTTCAGTAATAAATTATTTTGAAAAAATACAAATTCTTTCTCTAAAGTAAACCATGATTAGCACAAAAGAAATTTATAATGTATATCTAAGATAAATAGAGTTATGATATTAAGATAGTTAAAAAATACTCATCTTCCAAAATCAGGAATTCTAATACATTAAGAAAACAGAATGATGACATATTTAACTCTGTTCCCAAATAAGCACCAATTTATTCCAAATAATCACATAATTTTAAGATAGAATCTTCCTAAAATACTTTTACAAAAAGTAACTCTAGTTTCATAAATTCTAGAAATGCCATCTTGTATTTTAATACTACCTTAGTTGAACTGAACATTCAAAAATTCCATAGTTTCCAGAGAGTTCATTTAAAAAGTTGAAAAAAAAATCTGTCTTTCATGATAAGTGATGCTAGTGATAACTTTACTTGGCAGAATTTTCGTGACTTTGGTGATTTCTAACTTTTGATAAACAACACACATATAATAAATATATTTCTTAAAAAAATAAGCCAGTCTAGTGGCTTGCGTTGGAGGGCACAGCATTGCATTTTGTTAAACCCAAATTGAACAGAGTTGAATTCAGGTTAATGCAGAGAAAGGCATGCTCTGGATGTGTTGTCCTTTGTATTTCCTGAAGCATCAGGTGAATTGTAAACAGTTCAAAGAGCTTCTTGTTACTCCTGTAAAAGATTAAAACGCACATTATTCAATCACATATTCACAGGAAGCTTATAAGGACATGGCGAGACAATTTACAGGTGAGTGTGAGGAAGCGGCATCTGTCTTTAAAAGTAGTGGGGAAACAGCTAACTAAAGGATTAAGATACTGAGACAGAGAAAATACATTTTCTAAGACAGCCCTGAAATAGAAAAGCATTCAAGGAAAAAAAGAGATGTCTTGTAACCCTGGAAACTGCATCCTAGAGTTTGATCAATCTTCCTTTTTTCTCATCGGTAGAAAATGCTGAATATTTATAGACATTTTAAGTGAGCTGGGCTTTTCATTTAAAGTGGTGGAATGTGGGTTTACCTTTTGACATAGCTCCAAAATACCTTTCAACAATCCTGTAATAACCAGTCACTAATTTCATTTTCTGATTAGTAACAATATCTTATAGCATATTTCTTCTTTCCTTGGCTAGGTTTAAAGAAATTATCAACTCCCTTTATGTACATCCATCTGACACAAAAGGGCTTACATCTTTCTGGTTTTAAAAATGTATTTTTCAGGGCTGGTGCTGTGGCTCACTTGGTTAATCCTCTGCCTGCAGCGCCGGCATCCCATATGGGCCCTGAGTTCAAGTTCCGGTTGCTCCACTTCCAGTCCAGCTCTCCGCTGTGGCCCCAGAGGGCAGGAGGATGGCCCAAGTGCTTGGGCCCCTGCACCTGCATGGGAGACCAGGAGGAAGCACCTGGCTCCTGGCTTTGGATCAGTGTAGCTCTGGCCATAGAGGCCTTTTGAGGGGTGAACCAACAGAAGGAAGACCTTTCTGTCTCTCTCTCTCACTGTCTAACTCTGTCAAATAAATAAAAATAAAAATGTATTTTTCTTGAACATCAACTATTCCCAACCCTCCAGAGTTCAAGCTTTGTTCTGGCTCTTTATCTGAGCTTGAAATGAACCTGAGCTATAAAACACACCACAGAGAGCAAAACATTTTGGTCCAAGGATATACTTGCAGTTTGGGCCTACTTGTAAAAAATCTCATGAATTAACTGATACCAAGCCAAATTAATAATTTGGTGAAAATACAGCTGTAATTTGACAATGTTTTACTATAGTACTACACCTGGTACCAAGTAGAACATATGGAGCCATTAATATTTGTCTACAAATAATTTTAAGATATATTACATTTACTACTCAAGTCTACTGAGGCTTTGTGAAATATCTAAGTTCTCAATAATGGAAACCATGGATGATGGAATGTGCCAGGAATAGAAAGACTGAAACAAAAGCAAACTTCTGCTGTTATAAAAGTGAGGTGACACAGAAGGTGTCCAGATTTACCTCAAAGTAAACATTAGCCTATACCAGGAGTCACAGAAAATACACCTTAAAATCTACTTCCTGGATCTATAATTGAAAAACTAGTCATACCAATGTCTGAGTGGAGGAGAAGGGAGAAAGAGGAAACTTAGACAGTCCTCAATTTACACAATCACCAAATTAACAGGAATACGAAACCCGTAATAATTTCTTACAATAACCTAGTTACTAAAATAAAATCTCTCTGTCTGCCTCATTCGCATTCTCTAAACTCACTTCGGTAGATCAATAAGGAATTGCTAAGTGCACTGCTGTCATGCTTATTCTCACCAGCGATATTACAGAATGCCAGCGTGCAATGGTTGGTTCTGTCGTCACTGAGTTACTAAAACTGCCGTCAGCTTTATATGTTGTCTGTTGTACTGAAATTTCATTCAACTGATCGGAACAGAAACAATTAGACATTCTAACTCTACTACTAGATACAAAGATGTGATTATGATAATCATCTTTCAATACAAAACGTCAAATAAAAACTTCTTACTTGATTTTGGAAAGTTTCTGTAGAATAATACTGAGCTTTTCTAGTATCTGAAGATCAAGTTTAGGTGTCCGCAGCAGCACAGAGCAAGTACGGAAAAACGCAGAGTTGCTGCAGGCTTCCAGGAAGGGCTGCAAGGACTCTGTAAAACAGATCAACAGTGCTCACGCCAGAACAGCTGGAGAGGGACTGAGAACAGAACCAGAGCTATGTGGGGGATTTACAAACACTGGCTTGGATTTTCACTCTCTCAGACAAAAAATTGGGGGCAAAATACCTGAAAAATTAAAACATCTGTTGGCTCTTGCTGAACACTGCAAATAAAAAGATCTGATCTTTTTTTTTTTTTTTTGCCTATCATCTAATTTCTATTAGACAAAATTTGGCAGAAATCACATTTGAAAGAGGGAAAGTAATTTTTTTCCAGTAAGTTCATAACCATAAACTCAATTTAGATAATTAGTAACAAGAACTTTTGTTGTTGAAGTAGTAACTTTTTTAAAAACAATGATTAGCTCCCCTTCACATATAACCCTGGGTAAAGGTACGGTAAACAAACCCAGTACACAGTTGTCTAATTCAAGTAAGGTCTAAACATAGCTCACGAAGTCACGTGTACATGCCCATGTCAGTTACACCGCATCTTCTAAAATACTGAGAATTTAGCTAATAGACAGGTTACAAATAATCTACAGATAAACTTATATTTGTGGAAATTTCAAGCAGCTTCATTAAGTAGTATTAGACAGTTTTCTTATTTCAAGTCCTGTGACACAGGATTCATGTGAACTGTGTATGAGAAAGCTTTCTGTTGTACGGCTAACACAACTGAATCAGTGCGTAGGGAATAAGTCAAGTCAAGACCGGAAAGATCACTTGGGATTCTTAACATCCTATAATCTAAAGCACACAAGAAAGTTATGATGGTCGTTTGTCTATATCATTTGTCTAAATCAGATCTTGCCATGAACAAAATACACACATTTAAAAGTTATTTACTAAGTACCAAAGGAAATCCTATTTATTGCTAAATAAAAGTTAACTTCTGGGGCTGGCACTGTGGCGTAGTGGGCAAAGCCACCACCTGCGGCACCAGCATTCCATATGGGCACCAGTCTGAATCAGGGTTTGAGTACTGGCAGCTCCCTGCTAACAGCCTGGGAAAGCTGCAGAAGATGGCCCAAGTGGTTGGACCCCTGCCACCTACATGGGAGACATGGAAAAAACTCCTGGCTGCTGGCTCTGGTCAGCCCAGCACTGCCCATTGTGGCCATTTGGGGAGTGAACCAGCACCTAGAAGATCTCTCTGTCTCTTCTTCTCTAATTTTGCCTTTCAAGTAAATAAATCTTAAGACAAAAAAAAAAGTGAATTTCCTCATATGACTCCATTGGAAAAATGCCAGGACCACCAAAGATTTTAACTTATCAGCACATGTAAAAAGTGAATTTAACAAAAGTCTTTTAGAAGTAAGAGGCTCAGTGGCTTCAGTTCCAATCGCTCTAAAGCTGGAAGAGACATAAGATAGAGGAGAAAAGTAGTTCTGAGATTCTCGTGTGCGTTAAGTTCAACTAAAGTCGAAAAACTGCAGTTTTAACATTTTTCCAATACTTCAATGTTCCAATTTGTTACATGTTTTCAGTTTAGAAGAATTTCAATGTGAATAAATGCGGTGCTATAGAGCGAATGTTTTCTCCAGAATTCTTTCCTAAGAGCCTTCCCTCTAAGCGATGTATCAAGAGGTGGGTTCTGGGGAGTGACTGGGTCTGAAGGAAGAATGACAGAGTCTGTGCCCTTCCCCACGCGAGGACTCAGCACCGAGGCACCACCTCTCAGACTCTGAATCCCTGGCACCCTGACTCTGGGTTTCCCAGCCTTTAGAATGGGGACAGCAGGCTAATTCTGTAGTCACAGTCTGAACGAATCAAATTACAGCTCTCTGTAAGGGGACCTCAGAGAGCTGACTCACTCTCTCTTCAGCCTGTGTGGATGTAGGAAGAAGCTGCAACCCAAAGGAAGCCTACGTAAGAACGCAGCCAGGCCAGCACCCTGGTCTCAGAAGGAAGTAACAACAACAACAATAATGAAGAGGAAGAGAAAGAAAGCGGTCCAACACACTGGGTGTTATACACCTCTCCTAAACTCCATGTCACACTGGACACTTTTCCTAGCCTGACTTCCCTGATTTCCACATTGAAACAGAGATGGAAAAATGCTTGAGAATCTCTCCCCTAACACCTGCCCTAGGCATAGGGACCAAAAATTAAAACCCAACAGAAAACCCAGCAAAGACAGACGCTACACCTACAGGAACCAAACGCAAGCACAGAAACACAGAGAAAAACTCAACATCATGACCTTGACCAACGAACGGCAAATGCCTTAGGATGGGAACATGGAGGTCCAGGGGAAGCCTGGCGAGACCCCTAGGAATTCTCACTCCAGAGGAACAGTAACTGGCTATGCTTACTCTTCACCCTTCTGACTCGTGAGCTCAAGGAGATGTCAGAACTGCGTATTACACTAGAGTACTGTTATTCTGAAGCCGAAAGAATCTCTCCATCCGCGTAGTACGTCCACACCTCCCACCTTCCTAATTAGGTGAAATGAACTCCAACAAAGTATTTTGGGCAGAATCTGAGAAGTGCGAGCACAACCAGGAGAAGCTAACAAAGACTGCATGTCACCACTTGGCACCATTGTCTTGGAAAAACTGAGATAAATGGCTCTCAAACTCTAGCTCTGAAGGGGCAAAGGGGGGGGGGGGGACTGGACTTGGATATTATAGGAAGATGAGGTTTGAGGGGGTGGGCACTGGCAGGTATTTAAGAAGCTGCCTAGGGGGCCGGCGCTGTGGCATAGTGGGTAAAGCCACCTCCTGCGGTGCCAGCATCCCAAATGGACGCTGGTTCCAGTCCCGGCTGCTCCGCTTCTGATAAAGCTCTCTGTTACAGCAGAAGATGGCCCAAGTCCTTGGGTCCTAGTACCCACGTGAGAGACGCAGAAGAAGCTCCTGGCTTCGGATCGGCGCAGCTCTGGCTGTCATGGCCAGACCTCTTTCTGCCTGTCCTTCTCACTCTGTGTAGCTCTTTCAAATAAAAAAATAAATAAATAAATCTTAAAAAAAAGACACTGCTTGGGCCACCCACTCCATTTTACAATGTATCTGGGTTTCAGTCTCAGCTCCACTCCCAATTCCAGCTTCTTGCTAATGCCCATTATGTGCCTTGGGATAGCAGGTAAAGCTGCCGCCTGCAGTGCCAGAATCCCATATGGGAACCGGTTCTAGTCCTGGCTGCTCCTCTTCCGATCCAGCTCTCTGCTATGGCCTGGGAAAGCAGTAGAAGATGGCCTAAGTCCTTGGGCCCCAGCACCTGCATGGGAGACCCAGAAGCAGCTCCTGGCTTTGGATAGGTGCAGCTCTGGCCAATGCAGCCAACTGGAGAGTGAACCAGAGTATGGAAGACCTCTCTCTCTCTCTGTGCCTCTGCCTTTCTCACTCTGTAACTCTGCATTTCAAATAAACAAATACATAAATAAATTTTAAAAAAATTTAAAAAGCAGCTAGGCTCAAAGACAGCCAGGCCAGATAATCTAAACTCACATGGTCAAAACCAGGGAGGGGACAAGTAGAGCTCATCTCGTAAAGCACATGCTGACGGGGACATCGCTTGAGTGGTCTAACAATGGAGGGCCAACAGCCACACAGGGGATCCTGACAGGAGTCCCCCCTGCAATACCTGTGGGACTGGCCCGACAGCACCCCTCCACCCGGCCTGGAGACCCCAGCGATCTCTGTCAGCCTGGACACGCACTATCCTCCCAGGACCTCTGGCAAAAGTCTCCCTGGCAACGACCACCCCATCCTTCACTCAATCTGCCTATAAATCCACAATCAGAGGGAGCACCCAAGGGGTCCTGGAGGAGAGCAAAACAAAACTAAACAACCGCCTCCGGAGCTTTTTTCTCCGGAAGCCATTCTCACTTCCCTTGAGTATACTTTGCTTATTGTGATGAATCTTGCAGCCTATACTTCCTGTCTGTGTGGTCCTCATTCAATTCACTGTCTGAGATTCAAAGAACCTGTGCTCACACCCACAATGGTACCAGTGAGGGTCTAAAGACAGAAAGATTTACAAATCTTGTTCAATGCAAAAGCCTCATGCTTGCTCTCCCAAACACGCATCACCAGGCCCTTCTTCTATCGCAGGGCAGGGAGGCAGAGCATATGGGAGAGGAACAATTATAAAGTTATTTGAAATTCAGAACACAGAAATGGAGAAGCCACAGTTTTAATAACACTAGTCTCAGGCAATGAATATAATTGAGTGTAAAACTAATGAAAACTGGCCGGTGCCGTGGCTCACTAGGCTAATCCTCCACCTTGCGGCGCCGGCACACCGGGTTCTAGCCCCGGTCGGGGCGCCAGATTCTGTCCCGGTTGCCCCTCTTCCAGGCCAGCACTCTGCTGTGGCCAGGGAGTGCAGTGGAGGATGGCCCAAGTGCTTGGGCCCTGCACCCCATGGGAGACCAGGAGAAGCACCTGGCTCCTGCAATCGGATCAGCGCAATGCGCCGGTCGCAGCGCGCCAGCCATGGCGGCCTTTGGAGGGTGAACCAACGGCAAAGGAAGACCTTTCTCTCTGTCTCTCTCTCTCACTGCCCACTCTGCCTGTCAAAAAAAAAAAAAAAAAACAAAAACAAAAAAACTAATGAAAACTAATCTGAATCAAATATGCAAAACACAATATGAAAATATAAACTGCAACAATGAAAAATGAACAATATAACTTCAGCAAAAAGTAAAAGAAGAGGAGACGGAAGGCACAACAGCTGGCTGGGAGTCCATTACTATTGCTGAAACTGACACAGCATAAACAGAGACAGAACATTAAAAATGGTCAAAATGGACAATTTTGGGTACTGCCGCCTGCAACACCAGCATCCCACATGGGTGCTGGTTCAAGTCCTGGCTGCTGCTCCATATCTGATTCAGCTCCCCGCTAAAGTGCCTGGGAAAGCAGTGGAGGATGGTCCAAATGCTTAGGCCCCTACCTCCCACGTGGGAGACCTGGATGGAGTTCCTGGCTCCTGGCTTCTGTGTGGCCCAGCCCTGGTGTGGTGGTCATTTGGGGAGTGAGCCAG